TATGGGAACTGAAGTCTTTTACTTATTTTCATTGCTTGCCTAGACCTCTTCCCACATTTACTCCCACTTCTTTTTCTTTGGGGATTTGATGATCCAGTGTCAAGTGTACCAGGAGCACAATGGCAACATTTATTTGACACCTGGTGGAAGCAGCACTTCTTGCTGACCTCCAGCTTGTGAGTAAATAGATGCTGTCTTGCATCTGGGTAATTAACTCTGCCTCTTCTGGTATTTTACTCAGTGCTTATACCTGTGAAATGTAATAGAACTTATTTCTAGCTTTTCTCTAACTTGTCACTTTCATTCTAAATTCTGATATCTTACTGCATAGATTGTTGCCAGGCCTTGCATGCCTACTTGCCTCTAGGAATGGGAGGAGTGGCAGCGGGTGGAACACTATCACCAGCTCCTAGGTGATGAATTAGACCTGCCGCCCCCCACCCCCGCCGTTCATACCCTCACCTGGAGATGTGGCCTGCCAGTCTTCATAGCTGCACTCTTATCTAGCAGGAAGAGAGCTCAGAGCCGTATTTTCCATGTTCTGTCAAGTTTGGAAACCTTCCACACCACTAAATGTTATGTTTTTGAGGTAGAAGGCACAGGAGCTGTAAGTATGAACTACTTTCTAGAACTAGTAAAACAATATTTTTGGTTTCATTAGGAAATAAGCCTTTTTCTTTGTAGTCTCACTGCCAAGCAAGTGTTTTCAGCCTCAGCCCAGCACTGAAAGCATTCATGAATTCTAATAGCAAGACAGCACACACTTCAGCAGGATTTTAATTGACAGAGAGGTGGAAAGCAAACGGGAGGGCTGGGGTGTCCTCCAGGGAGTGGGCGTGCAGAGAAGCCTAGGTTCCTGCCAAGAAAGTGTGCCTGGCGGTGTGTCTGCCACAGCTGACCTAATGCAGGTGCCTTTCACCTGGCCATCAGGCTCTGAAGACCTCCTGCATCTGCACAATTTTGTATTTGTGGGTAGTTTTCAGCAAGCAAGATATTCAGCTTTTTCTCAGTTTTCAAAAGAATCCATGAGTCAGGTGTTCAGAAGCTCTGTTTGGGCTGGCAAGATAGCTCAGCGGACTAAGCACCTGCTTAGGTAAGCACAGAGACTGGGGTTGAATCCCCAGCACCACTTTCTTTCTTTCTTTCTTTCTTTCTTTCTTTCTTTCTTTCTTTCTTTCTTTCTTTCTTTTTTTTTTTTCGGAACTGGGGATTGAACTCAGGCCCTTGCACTTGCCATGGAAGCGCTCATTGCACTGAGCCATCTCCCCGGCCCCCCTCCAGCACCACTTTCTGTGCCGGTCCCCGCCCTTGGGCACACTGAGCCAGCCACTGAGTCTGGGCATGGGGGTGCACGCCTGTAATCCCAGCACTGGGGAGGCTGAAAACAGGAGGATCACTATGAGTCCAAACTGCGTTGTAAGACCCTGTACCAAATACATAAAAAAATAAAAAAGAAGAAGCTCTATTCACCAGATGGACAATGATCCAAACTTCCAATGTGGACAGAACAGCTTTCTGGAAATTGATATGACCAAAATACACAAAGGAAAGATCATTAGTATCTCTTCAGTGTTCATTGTTGTATGTACCAGACTCATGGAAGCATTTTATTGAATCTTCACAGCGACACTAAAGGAAGGGATCTGAACCCAGATCTTGCTCAGATGCTCATGTACTTGATGCGTACCACACTATGTATCTATAGAATGGAAATGATGAAACATTGAAGATTTGTAAGAAATAAACAGTCTGAAGCCATGGAGACAGATGATTTGACGTACAAAAATGTGATCTACTAAAAATTTAGAATTATCTTTGGAATAAAATTGAGTGATTTAAATCAGACAGGGTCCTAAGTATATGAAATGAGGTAGGCTGCAGCTTGCAGGAGGGGTCGTTCATCCTGAGCAACAGCTTTTCAAAAGCATTGGAAAATGTAAGTGGAACAGAGCCCAGCCCCTCTTCACTGCATCGTCTCTCCAGAGTGAGCGCACACACTTACAACCTGAAGACGGGAAGTAATTTCATTCTTCTTTACATCTCTATGCTAGTGATAGTTGTTCACTTGTACAGATTACATTAAATTAGGTGAATTCTGCTGTACTACCCTTCATCTCTGTTTGCACTTAACTACACATTCTTTTCATACTCAAATAATAGAGCTTAGGAAACATTCCTGCCCACATACCTGAACGCTTAAGCAGCCAACCCCCAGCACTACCTTTCTTCTAACTGCAAATCCTAAAGAACATTTTGGTCATTGTTTTCTGGAAATTATTAATTGAAAATATTCAGGAAACAAAAATAAATACAAGCTTCTGGAGGTGCTTTCTATATACGTTTTTGCCAGCATATCTTACCTAAAACAATGTGATCATCTGTTTGGAGAACTCTGCAGAGGCTGAGCAGGATTAATTCTCATGCCTCTGTTGCAGTGTAAACAGCTTTTTGCCTGTCTTTTGTCATTAATGATCATGCTGTAGATGTAGCCAGTGCATTGTAAGCCAATCTGTCAAGGCAAATAAACAATTCACCTTGTTAAAATTCCCTAAATCTTGCATTAATAAAACCAAAGTAACCCCCTGAACACTCAAGAGATGTCTCCCTCCATACTGCAGTGATGGATGACATGTCTAAAGATCCTGGAAATTAAGTAGTTCGGGTCATTAAAAGTGTCCCACACTTGTTATTGATTTAATTTATTTCAAAAAGGTGGGGGTGGAGATAAGAATGTTGCACCCTTCCCCATTCTGTTTTCAAATCTGAAAGTCACCACTTATATAGATAAAACTGTTGCCTGGTTGAACAGCTCCAAAATACATTCAGGTTGTTTTATTTTTTAATTCTAATAGGTATTGTATTGTCTTCTTAAGCAGACATATAGGAACATCTTGGAGATTTATGTGTGTCATGATTCTTAGAACTTCTGTGTTGTAGACATTGAAATAATAATCTCTGGGCGCCCATAAAAAAGTCCCTTAGATGAGTAAATTTAAATGGAGATGAAAATGATTTGGGGAAAATTTACTGAAATAGTAACAAAATTGTGTCTATAGGCAAAAGGATTTTTACTGAACTTTTCATTTTTCTATTTTTATAACTAGGGAAATAAATATTATGTAATGTGGGTGAATGGATGGATGGGTGGATGGATGGATGAGAAAACATTCAGAGAATGGTGCAGAATTTTGGTTTTGTATCGCTGTCCTCTAAGCAGAGGTTAAGTCGTTGCACCTGTGCTTGCCGTTTATCAGCAGGCTTCCCACCAGCCCATGCTCCCCTGGATCCAGTGTCTACTGCCACAGCCCAGTGCCTGATAGATGTCTAGTAATATTGAACAAGTGCAGCAGGATCCCAGTTACCTTTGCTGCGTTCTCTACCCCTGTGCAGTACAGTGGGCCTTGTGAGAACAGTTGCAGCCCCAGACAGCTCTGGTTCTCCAGGTGTAGAGCTGCAGGAGGGCTGGGTACTAGTGCCTCACAGAGCTCACAGGCAGCACTGCAGCATGTGTGTCCCTCTCACCGTGTGTCTGTTCTGGACGGTGTAGCAGGGATCCAAAACCTTACGAGGAATGGGGCACCTCAATATGTAAATTACAGCCCCAAACAAGATACTCTGTAGACTCATGTACCCACAGATTTGACCTGCCTTTTCTCATTTGTTATGTTATCTTATACATTAACTCATGTAGCTGTTCCTGAGCAGCTGTGTGGGTGATATTTCCCCATAAATTCTCATTGTTCTTTTTGTTCTTTAAACAACATGTACTTGGGGCAGGCAGGGGGGAGGCTGGCCCATAGTATGTTATAGAAAAGGACCTCTGAGAACAGTTGTACTAATTTCAGAGATTGTTGTATAGTCTTTGGTGCCTTTCTCTCAGGGCCTTTGGGGAAAATGGGAAGGAAATACAGGGAGGTAGTGATATACAATCAGTTCAAACACTGGCAGATTCTTTAAAAACTGTAGATATAAAAATGCACCCTATAGTTCTCCATCAGATTTCTGCTTGTAATTGCATAATTTGGATCTCTGAGTGCTGAGTGCTCCCATTACACCAGCTCTTTAGCAGAGCTCTTTATTTTTTTTATTTTTTTTTAAATTTTTATTTATTATTTATTTATTTATTTAATTTATTTATTTTGTGTGTGTGTGTGGCCAGTTCAGCCCACCAGGGGGCGGGGCTGGCTGGCATGTGGTGCTGGGGATTGAACCGTGGTCCCTGTGCTTTTGCTTAGCTTATTCTAAGTAGATGCTTTAGACCACTGAGCCATCTCACCAGCCCAAAAAGTACGTTTTTTTTCAGTACCAGGGATTGAACTCAGGATCTTGCACTTGCCAAGCATGTGCTTATGTCACTGAGCTATCTCCCTGGCCCCCTAGCAGAGCTCTTTAAATGAAAGAACACTATAGATTTGTTTTCAACGTATACACTGATTTACACTTAGCAGTAAAGTTGTTACTGACCCTTTAAGTGGAGCTGTCCAAAGGACAGTGTCAGTTGATTCTAATACTGAAACAAGTGATAGTAGAGGGCTTTGATCAAAGCTTTCAGTTAGCAAAACTATTTACAGTATTACACATTCATGTATACCAAACCATTTTATAACCAAGAAAAATCTGACTTATGGATCTTAGCAAATAAAATTAACGTATTTGGGTTTTGACATATTGTAGATTAGAATCTCCATGAAGGCAGCCACCTTGCCCAGGTAGTTCCCTGCTATGCTGTCCTTTGTTCTGTGTCTGAAGGGTAGGAGTGCTCATAAATGTTGGCGAGTGAAGAGATAGAGATAGGTAAGTGCAGTGGGTGCTGGTGCTCACAGCCTGTGCTCAGCCTGAATTCCTGGTGGGTGAGTTGGGGACCACTCCTTAGACTGATCATGAGGAGCGGTGCTGGTGAGGCCTTTGATAGACGGTGCTGACTTTTTGATATAGTTTCTTTGATTGATTGTTGGGCTCACTTCCCTTCAGTTTCTAATTCTGTTTTTTTGCTTTCTCAGGCTGTCATTTTAGAAAATGAAGAACTTCCAAAACTGTTTCTTGATTTCCTAAATGTGAGACACTTGCCTTCTCTACCAAAGGCAGAAAGTTGTGGGTAAGAATTGTTGTTTACATATTGGGTGTGTATTTTAAGTTACTTCCCAATAACTGATTGGTCTAAAAACAAATACTCCAGAGTGACCTATAAGGACTGGGCCAGCCGCACCTGGCCTTTGGTTGGCATAGCACTTGCTCACCTGCTGCATGCAGTGAGAAGAATAATTCTTAAGCTCTTGTCCACATCTTATGGCCAAATAGCCAGCACTCAGGAGTTTGTATTTAGACCCAGGACATGACCCTTTATGTTGAGCTGTTGGCATAAGTGAAGTTACATGATGGCAACTATGAATCTAGGTGTCTTGCTTGGGGACTGCTTATTTATTTGTATATACTTAAGCCAGGTCCACATCCCTTTGGTATACTTATAAAGCTATAAGTGACCTTAGAGATGATTTTCTCCAACTCCCCTTATTTAATAGTTGAATAAACAGAGACAGAAATTCAGTGCCTTTCCCAGTATCTTCTACCTCACAGTTGGCAGAGCCCAGGCCTTCGAGTACCAGCCTTTGTTCTCCCAGAAATTTCTAGCTGCTGGGCTACAGACCCACTCCCGTCTACCAAGGAGCCAGAGGTCTGGTAGCAACACAGTAGGGAAAGGCTTCCCTGAAGAATATGCGGCAGGATCTGTGCTCCTTGCCCAGTGTCAAGTGCATGCCTGGGCTCCTCTGGCCTCTGCTCAGTGAGCAGCATCCCTGCTGAGTACATCCACTCCCAGGTCCTGGCAGCAAAGGGCTTTTACCTGCTCTTTCCCACTGCCTCCAGAGCCCCTGCAGAAGGAGCAGCACCATCATACTTCATTGCGCCAGAGTCCCGCTCAGCCCTAGCCAGCAATGGGCTTGTTCCTCACCAGAACCATGCCCCTGACCCCAGAGCCAGAAGCCGACAGCATGCTTGCTTTTATGTTGTCATGCACTCAGCTCAAGCCTGTGTGAATATATCTATGAGTGGTCAGGCTTCTCATATCTAGTTCCGCATTTTCAGAAGAGACGTGAGAAATAATAGTGTGTGAAGTCTTTATTCATTATACAAGCCCCCAAATAGTCTTGAAACCTTAGGACTTTACAGTGAACTTTGGGAAAATTAAATCCAAGAATCCTCCAGGCTTAAGATTCCTCGAATGAGTCACCAGCTCTATGGTGGCTCAGGCTCAGCACAGAAGCCATGACTGCATTTGTCTGTTTGTTTCTGAATTCAGTGATGTAAGAATATCAGCTATTTTTTCCTTTGTTAGCATAAACATGACTTCTACTTATCTAGTCTTTTTCTTTTCCAAAAATTTTAGATCCTTTGATGAGACAGAATCTGAGGAGTCAAGGTAAGAGCTAGTATTAGCCAATAAGGAGTCATACAGATTAATAGGACTAATAGTTTTATTAAATATGTAATTACCCTGATAAGGTGATAAAAGTCAAGTTTTCCTGAAAACTTCTGTTGAAAATAGGTTATAAGATTGTGAGTGCTTGACAAGGAGCTGTAGAGTAACCAGTTATAATAAGGAGTGATGGGACAGGAGCCCTACACTGTGTCATCTAATAGGAACCCTGCTTTATTTATCATCATATTCAGCCATGTTGTGCTGTACAGATTGCATATCTGCCTCAGATTCCACAAAGAAACACTTGGAAGATGAGTACAGTGCTGGTGTGTTCCTCTGTGTTCGCTGTTCCCCCCATACAACGTGAGATACCTAAGTATCAGACAACCCCACACAGCAGTTTGATCCCCTCAAAGCTAGTTTGTAGTGTTTTCTGTTTACCGTCGTCCCCTGATGCTGACATGCTTGTTCTTGACCTTTCTAGCAGACTGTCCCACCAGCCGGTGCTGTTGTTCCTCAGGGATCCATACGTCTTGCCTGCAGCCAGCGGTAATCAAACCTGTCATCTGCTAACAGCTCTTTACTGATCTGACCTGTGCCACATAAACCACGTTTTTAATACAGGTCTAACAGAGTGGCATTGGTCCAGGGCTTAATCATCTGCCAATAAACCAGTGCTCTCGGTGTAAGAGACATTTAGAATTTTAATTGGGGCCAGCCTTTCAGCAGGAAATGTAATTTTTCTTTCTCTCTTACCACGCCATTTTGAATTCGAGCAGGAAGAGGTAAGATGGGAAGGTGTTTATTGTTTTCAATTTTTGGGGGCTGCTGCATGTTTTTAATCCAGATGCCAGGCTTCAAATTTAAAGCTCTAGTCCTTTCAAAAAATGTTTTTTTTTTCTCAAAATACTTTTTTTAGTTGTATCTCTATTTTCATTTAGATTGTAGCATCTTTGAGAATCAAGGATATATATTTTAAATATAGTGAACTTATTTAAATATAGCTTAGTATTTTAGTCTTGTTTCCTTTCACTGTGCTAAGAAGTTCAGATTCCCCTGAGTCCTGTTCAGAGTGAGTATGTCCTCAGACAGTAAGTATCTCAGGTAGTTTTCTTAACAACTCTTTAGAATAGGCAGAGTAGATACAATCATTGGTGAGGTGAGAAAAATGGGACTCAGAGAGGCGCTGGCATGCCTGTTCTCCAGTGACTGATGGCTGGACCTCTTCTAGCCTGAGTTCTCCTACCCTTCTCGGAGCAAGTTTCAGCCATTATTTCTGAGTTACTAAATGGCATGCCGACTAGATGGCAATAGGTGAGGGATTCATGTAAACTGTGCCTTGTTTCCGACAGTAAATCCCTGTCACTAGCCAGAGAAAGGGATCTGTTGTCTATCGCAAGCATGCTCAGGCTCAGATCACCCCAGAGCTGTCAGCTGGGAGAAAAGTGGCCTGGACAGCCCTGCTCTGTTGAGTGACCCATCCTAGCACCATGGTCAGGGCCAGCAGCCTTTCTGTAAGAATGAAGTCTCATAGTGTTCTCCCCTCAGGCTTTTTTGGTGAGGAATAGTTGCCTCCCATAAGCACTTACTTCCCATATATATATA